TCCCGTTACCAATGTATATTCACTTTAATCTCAATTCTTTTCTTTCTTTCTTTTTTTAATTCTTAAATCTAGAAAAAGGTGAAGAGTAATAATGTAGTTAAATTTTAATCGAGGGTAAAATTAAATTACATTAGTTGAAAACGGATTTAGTTGAAAAATGAAATTCAGAAGAAGATAAATAATAAATTAAACCGTTAATTAAAGTTAATTTTACATTGATGGGGAATCGGGTTTCGGTTGTGCATCTCTGTTGGAATTAAATATTTATTTCTGATTTGTCGAATAATTAAATATATTATTGAATTCTTCATTTATTCTTCCTCGCAGCTTCGCTTCATTAAAAAATCAGGAAGATCCTGTCGGTTTATCTGTCGTGTCTCGCACGATGCAGCCATCTACATACACGTAGCGTGATTTGCGCGCGAAAGCACCAGCGGGGTCTCGGTATCGATCCGAATGCGTAGAAAATGTTATTGATTCCCTCGGCCGACCCGACGACCTCTTCTCCATGGCGACGATCCGACTGGAGAGACCGTGGCTTTTCTCCATCCCCTTTTGATCATTTTTCATCTCGCTATATATTACGATACATTGAATTGCTATGATATACCTAAATATATTATACAAAATTTTAAATCTCGTACAAACAATAAATTTATTATACAAATAAATTGTATTAAAATAAAACAAAAAATAAATTATTAAGAGATATCTATAAAAATGTATTTAAAAAGATTACAGTGTCTAAAAAGTAATACGTATAATTATCAAATACTAATATTATGATATTAATTAATTATGATTTAATTTAAAAAAAAAATATATATATATATATATATTGGAGGTGAAGAAATTGAAAATTAAACTTTTAATGGAAACGGAGGAGAATATTTTCTACATATCTTCATTTAATTTCAATAGATCGTCTCTCACCTCTCATTTACAAATAAAATGTCACGTACATGATGACCGCAATTGGAAGGGGTGAGAGGAGAGAATTGCATAAAAGGCATACAAGCCAAGTGACTTCGCCTATTCGTTTTCTGCCTACGCCTTCCAGGGTCATACGTCCCACGTTGATCCTCCATCGTATTTCTATCTTTTCTTTAGAGTCGCTTTTGTGGCTTTGAACACTTGAAGTATGCAGAGCACTCAAAAACACCTGTTACAATGATTTACTTATCAAAAATATTCAATACTCTAGCTCGAAGTTAATAATAATTATTTTATAACGCTTGTCAACAATAAAGTATTATCTTTTAACAAATTGTATTAATAACATTGGAATATTATAAAATTTTCAACATATCGCACAAACTTAAAAAATGCGAGTTTAATTTGCTGGAAAAAAAATTATAATCGAGTTCGGTTAAAATTTAAGACAATTAGATTTAGATGAGAAGTATGACATCTCCTTCACGTTACTATCATTCTGTGACAGATCACGAGTAAGACGGGCACGATAATTCTTGGCCGATGAGGAGCAGAGCAGCACGAGGGCGAGTAGTAGAAGGAGCAGCAGTACGAGCAAGAGCGAGTGGCTTCGTCGTCGTAGAAGGTGGTGGCGGTGTGGAGAAACAGAAGAAGGAACGAGGACGAAGTGGCGGCGGCAGCAGTGGCAGTGGCAACGGCGGCAAAGCGGCGACGAACAGCCAGGTCCCCCCATGTTAGCGGATATCAACGGCAACCTGGCGGATCTGAGAAGCGAAGCGATGGCGTCGCAGAGATTTTGTCTGCGTTGGAACAACCACCAGAGCAATTTGCTCTCCGTCTTCGACCAGCTGTTACACGACGAAGCATTCGTCGATGTCACGCTGGCCGTTGAGGGCCAGCTACTCAGGGCGCATAAGATGGTGCTGTCGGCGTGTAGCCCCTACTTTCAGGTAAGCTCGCCTTTTGACATCTACAATTTATTAGATTAACATTCGAAACTTTAAATAAATGAATCATAGCAAGTGATTTTAATTGTTACAATAAAGAAACAATATTTTAAATTGATTTTATGATGGATCATATTTGGATTCTATCATAATTAGAATCCTGTTGACATTGACATGTTTAGAGAAATAGATTATAATGTAGGATTGCTACATACAACTTGCTATTTACTAAAACATAAAGATTAAAATTTTAAATTGATAAGATAAATTATATTTACAGGCCCTGTTCGTTGGACACCCTGACAAGCACCCGATAGTCATTCTCAAGGATGTTCCATATGTGGACATGCGCAGCCTCTTGGACTTTATGTATCGCGGTGAGGTGAGCGTCGATCAAGATCGACTGACCGCTTTCCTGCGAGTCGCCGAGTCCTTGAGGATAAAGGGCCTGACCGAGGTAAATGAGGACAAGTGTGATTTGCCAAGTATAACGTCCTCGCTGTTGGGCGGCAGCCAGAACGCAGTGGCACCGCCGCCGCCCAGTCTTCATCGGATCAACCAAATCGGTCCGCATCATCATCATCATGTCGCGCAGAAGAGGTTCCATCATATGTCCAGTCATCCGTTGCTTGGTTCGGCGCTGACAGCGCCCAAGAGAAAACGTGGCAGACCCAGGAAGTTGAGCGGTTCGTCGGATACGCCAATCGGCGAAATCGGCGGTCAGGACCTGCAGTCCTGCTCTGGCGCTGATCTAGTCCAGGGCTCGCCCGAAATGATGGAAATGAAAATGGGATTGGACTTTCAGAGCGAGGTTAGCGGTAACGGTAGCGTGAGAAACGCCAGTGCCTCCTCTTCCAACAACGTTGGCGCCAATTCCGCGACAGCCACCAATAATCCCGCTGCCGCCGCCTCTTCGGGATCATCGTCGACGAGGAGAGACGAGCCTACGGAGAACGGTACTGATACACCGGAACCAGTCACGCGGGTCAAACGAGAACCAGAACCGACGCCCAGCACCTCGGCGCAAGGTATGAAACGCATTACGACTATGTTCTATATAATATGATAGAATTAAAATTTCTAAATTTTAATTTAATCGTTTTGTTGTTGATTCTAGCCTCGGATGAGACATTCGCGCGGCCGCACAGTAGGCAAGGGAGTGAGGGTTTCAAGCAAGGTAAGATCTTCAGTTCACTTAACTTCACTATAAAGAAGCCTTACATTACTAATATTCCCTAATATATATAGCGCGAACAATGAATTTCGCGCGGATTTCACTTGATTTACCTGAGATATCCCTCAGATATCGTAGCGTATCTTATGTATCAAACGGAGAGCTGCGCGCGTTTGCAAATTGTAATTAATTATATGATCGATTGTATAACTGTTTGCGCATAATTTATATCGTCAATTATGCAGACATAAATGTGTACTTAGTAAAATATTAACTCCTTCAGATTTTACTATACGTGATAAACTTGCAATTGTTCTTTTTTTTTTTTTTATTTATTGACAGATTAAAATTAAAGAAAAGAAATTTTTTAATGAAGTTTTACATATAGATCTGTAGGAGTTAATTTTTTTATTTTTAACCCTCGGACATGCGTATTGTTGCATAGAAAATATTTCTTATATTCCTATGATTCTAATTACTGATTTTTGAAAATGCATTCTGAAAATTATTAATTACAAGGTAAGTCAACAAGATCACTGAATGCAACATGCGCCTGAGGGCTAATCAGCCGCAGTTTTAGTAAAATCGCGCAGTTTTATGGATGCAAAAGATAATAAATTCGCGCGTCTAATCGCGGAACGATGCCCCACCACCAGATGTCTTAGCATGGTGTGAAATGTGATTCCCATAACGTGGACGCGGAGAAGAATGTTAGAGTATCTTTAACATTTTCTAATCTAATAGAAAAGTATAATACAAATTACTACTTGTTTTAAAATAATAATTGTTACATTATGATTTGAATTGGACGCATTAATTCTGGATAACGTCGAGTTGGGACTGTCGTCGAATATTCTTCTCCGTGTGAACCCAAAGGACAGGGAAAGAACTCGCTTTTGTGCCGTCCGAATGCTTATTCGTTTCTTGTGAACGCGCCCCGAGGAGCAAGCAAGCAAGCGAACCTTTGCGCGGCATTATGGACGACGCTGTAGACTCTCTACGTGAGAACGACTCTTATGGCTCTCTCGCACGATTCGTCGAGGTCGATCGACGACGTCTGAGAATCTTAGAACCAGAAGCCCGATCCCGAGGGGCTCGATACCACAATTAACGTGCACCAAATCTCGAGACTTCGCGTCACACTTCGCGACGATGTCGATGACTTCGCGCGGATCCACCTCTAATCACGCGCGTCGTCGCCGTCGTGGACGACGCTTTTATCCTAATGTACTGCTAATGAATTTGACTTTTCAGACATTTCTCGAGCTGCCTTGCCGAGCGGCTCGGTCAGTCGTTGTCGCACTCCTGCAAGCGCGCTCCTTCCGTTTTTTTTTTTTTTTTTTTTTCTTTTAGGAGCTAGCAGGGACTCTCGCGACCTTCGCGACGTAGCGAATCGCGCGCGCAGATCATTTCCGAAAACCGTCGATTCCGTTCAATCGCGGCGCGCTGAGCGAAGTTAGCCGCGCTTCGACATCTCTCGCGTTTACCTCTCGACCATTTTCGAAACAAAACACACACACACGAAGAGAAGAAGTAAGAGGTAGAAGAAAACAATTCTAACGCGAGAGAAAAATCTGCATCCGAAAGAATTTGAAAGGAAAAGACAGTAAAAATAATTTCCCTTTCCGAGAAGTGCGAGCGATGTGTCTAAAGGGGTAGCCGTATGAGGGATGTTATATATTGATACGCGCGCGCGCGGCATTCAAATCGCGAGAAGAGACGAAATCGAAACGAAAAAAGGATGTAAGAATAGACGAAAGTATGCATATATGTATATAGAAAGAGAGAGAGAGAGAGAGAGAGAGAGAGAGAGAGAGAGAGAGAGAGAGAGAGAGAGAGAGAGAGATTAAACGGAAAACCATCGTCTCGCTAATCAAGAATTCGCGTTCAGAACCAGGAATGTTGTTATGACACCCCGTGAAAAAAACCCCGGAAAGGGAACTCCCCTCTGTGCGAACGTCTGCGAAATTAATCTTTAATGAAACCCATTGCACTCGCGCCGCCGAGTCATTGTTCTCGTCGACGACGTACATAATATAGATATATTTAGAAATACATACATATATATATTTATATATATAATACCCATACGTAATTCTCACGCTCGGCCAATGCGCAGCGCCTCATTCCTGTCTTCCCTTCCGCCCTTCGTTCTCGATAGCACAAAAGCCACCTCCTTGTTCTTGCCTCTTCATGATCAATCTGTATTTTCTGTCTGCCGCACCGCACCTGTCGCTCTGTTCGATGTCTCGAACTTCTCTAGCCCTAACCCTAGAGTTCTCCACTAACATCCCCCATATCGCGTTCACCCGATGCTCTCTTCTCCGCACGATTGGAAAAAAAAAAAAACGCTTCGCTGCCATTGGCCAAATGGTAACAGGAGGGGGTGGAGCCAGCTTTTAGCGGTGCTTACTTTTTTTTATTGTTGTCTGATTTTTCACACCTTGAACGCTGGTTAACTTCTTTTACGCTCGTTCGTTGCGAGGAAGATAAGAATAGTTTCACTGTATTTTTTTTGTTTTTTTTTGTTTTTATCGCGGAAAGACAAACGGCAAAGAGGAAGAGAGAGGAGAGACGTAAACGCGTCGATGATGATTACGATGATGATAATGATGATGAGTGTTATACAACGGACGATGTGCATTGTCGGCAGGTTTATCGTTTCCGTCTTCTCTTGCGTTCTTCTTGTTGCTTTTAGACGATAACGACGACAATGAGGAAAGATGAAAATGAGAGACAAAACAGGATAGATAGATTAATATGTAAAAAATAAAAAGAGGAGTGGACAAACCAAGAAAGAGAGAAATCGAAAGAGAGAAAAATAGTGTGACGTACATTTCTTTTTTCTATTTTTTTTTTCCTATGAAAAATGTATTACGTGCGCGCGCGCGCGGGAGAGAGAGAAAGAGAGTGCTTCGAAGATGTCGTCGGAGATGATCTCGTTTCAATAGTGACCGTGATCGCTTTGTTCACTTTCGCAGGTGAGTGAGATTATCTTCAAGTCACCATCATTCTGAAAGATTTTTAAGCTTTGCGCGGGGGAAGCGAGGGAGCTAGGGAGGCCAGCCGCTAGAAAAAAAAATACAACGTTATAGAACGAAAAAAAAAAGGATCGAAATCAAAGTCATAGATGCATAAAATAGATAGAACGAAAAGACGGAACCGTTCCGAAAGAGTGTGCCGGAATGTAAGAGAAAATACCGGATGTAGAAGGATGTGACGCCGGAAGTCGAAAGCGGATAACGATATTGTGTTAGAAGTAATCACGTTGTACATAAACTCGAACGAAATTTTATTAAAGCTAATCAATCGAATGAAATACGCAAGGAGGAGGAAAAGAGTTGCTTTTTTTTCTCTCGAGCGTCCTCGATCTCGATGGATCGTTTTCCCGTAGAGATGGATACAAGCAGACTGACTGGACGTTACTGGACCGAAGGGGATGGGGAGGGTTGGTTAAAGTGTGCACATGTGTCACTGGTGAGCTGTTAATCAATTTCGTATATGCGTGATTGCTTAATACGCCTATATATGGGTTGTACTCGTTGAAGCGCACGATCCTTTCTACCGATCGTAGATTCCAAGTTGGGAGTATCATTTCAACAAGTTTCACTTCATTCCTGGATTATACAAGCCGAGAGATAGACTGCATTTAGCAAAAAAAAGCAGAGGTTTGTAACCGTTGTAAGATTCTTTAATATGATTCTATGTTCTTGATTTTAGTTTCTTGCTGAATCTATAGTATATAATTGTATTAAAGAATCTTACAACAGTTGCAAGCTTACAAAGCTACTTTTTCTGTTGAACGCAGCTATATAGATTTGCATATTGTTCGAATATCCGGGGGGTGCGTTCAGAGCTATGTTAGCATTTTATCCTCGTTTACTGAATAAACAAGGATAAAACATTACAATCTGGGTGCATCCGGATTAAGTTTCTGAATGCAGCCCTGAACGTCGTTGGTTCTCGAGTTACGAGTCGATCGAAATACTTTGATCGGTTGTCGACTCGAAGAAGCATTCTCGACAAATCTCTCGATGTTCGAACAATTGCCGTTTGATAATTGCCAGTTTTCCCTTCTCGGAATCTACAATAAGAATGGAAGTGTCGTGTCGCGCGTCACATCCCGTATATACGCGGATTTTCTATGTGCTCGTGGGTATGCAAGCGCGTGTGAAATGTTCATCGAATGAATGGGGGAGGAGGGAGGGTGCATGGTGTAAGGTGGATGGATGTGCACGGCAGAAGTACGCGTGAAGGAGGTAGGAGAGTCCGAGAGAAAAAGAGAAAGAGAGAAAGACTGATGTTGCCAGGAAATTGTTCGATTTTGCAACCGGCGTGAGAGAGAATGCGTGAAAGTGTAAGAGTCTGTCTGAAGGGGGATAGACGATGAGCGGGGGTGGGGACGACATGGAGAGGGCGTGTCGCAGCCGTGAAGTATCCTTTAACGCGGGACAGAAGTTGACTGAGACGGCCGATTCAAACACGGTGACTCTTTTTTGCTGGCTCTACCCTTCCTCTTGCTTCCCCCCACAAATATAGAGAATACGTTGTGCCAATACAGTACACAGAGATACATAGTTACGAGATGCGTGGTAGAACTCCGTTTATCAGAACGTCCGCGGAGGAATTTATGCAAAAGGAAGCGATCGTGCAACGGTATTCTTACCTAATCGTAAGATACAGAAATGACTTGAGTGAAAAAACACAATCTTCAAACAGTGTAAAGAGTCAAGAGACTGATGACCTATCCTGGTATGACGAGGATCCTTTGGTATTAAGGATCTATTTATACACAGATAATAATTGGGAAACCGATAACTCGAAGTATCTGGAATACTATCCGTCTGTGATATCATTCTGGAAAACGAGCAAGATTTGTAAGATTTTAGTCTTCTGATAAACGAACTCCTACCGCGCATCCAATGCTTGCACGACATATATATTATATCACGCGGGCATGGAGGGCGATTTAAAGGATCGAAGTCTCTTCGTTTCAGAGTTGGAGGAGACGTCGAGCGGAGGTGGTGATAGCGGCGAGCCGCCGACTCATATCCGCATCAACTTCGAGCGATGCTTTCGTAAAGAGTTCAGCACGTCGACGTTGCAGGGTAAAGCCGCGTCGACCGCCGCGGGCGACGATCAGCAGCAGCAACAACACTCGGACACTGAGATGGAAACGAAGGCGATGTCGAAGGACAGCATAAGCAGTGCCATATTTAGCGTGATGGCCGGCGAGGCGGAAATCAGTCAGAGCGACTTCGAAGGCTCGTTCAAGACCGAGAACGAGCGCACGGAGGGTTCGGTGCGGGACTTTTGCGTGAAGGAGGGCGACGTTTATCGATGCACCGTGTGCCATCGCACGTATACACACATCAGCAACTTCTGCCGGCACTACGTCACCTCGCACAAGCCTAACGTCAAGTACTACCCCTGCCCGGTCTGCTATAAAGAATTCACCAGGAAGGACAACATGGTCGCTCACGTCAAGATCATACATAGTCTTAAACCGCACATGAGTCTCAACAATAGTGGCAGCAGTAATAGTAGCAGCAGCATGGGTCAGCCGCGGTAGACCATCGCTGGCTGGGCATCCTCTCAGCATGTTTTCTCCCTCAGACCGCGTTTCTTGGATCTCGCGCATAATTCCGTGATACCGGAAATGCTGTAAATCCATGGTATCATTTATGATATCGTATGACCGCGTCCATGATATGATATTACGAGATATTCTAAGAGTTCGTGACATCAAGATTTTCTATGCTAAGCCGAGAGAAGCTTTAATACCGGTGATTAACGAATAGAAAGAACGAAGGTTCTAGAATTGATGGTGTCATAGATTATGATACCAAGGAATTACGGTAGGAAAAAAGGTGGTTGGGGGTCTATGATGGATGAACGTCATAGGTAGATTTGCGGGCCTGATGCGCTTGCCAAAATGATAAAATCGAGGAACGCGAAGATGAGGGAGAAGAAGGGAGATACAGGAGCTGAAGAAAAATGTGAAGAGGCCAGTATAACGCCTCGAATGAAGTCAGTGCGCTCCTATGAGCAGAAGGAAAGAAGGACGATAGTTAGATAGGTACGAGTAAGCGAGAAAACAAGTAGGTAGGTAAATGGTTGATCTTATAAAGTGGCTGTACTCTTCTGAGATGGCCAGAGAGGGTGGGTACACGGAAAACAAGTGGGTGTGCAAGATTCTAAGTTATGAACGTCATCGCCGGAGCACGCGTTCCTTAGTTTTCGCGCGAGCGTTCTCTATGGCAGTTTTTCCGGTGTGCAAATTTAATCATTTGGACGTTAATCGTCTCTAATTTATAAGGTGAACATATCTTGCGAAGTATGTGTTTTCGCTATTCTAATATTACACGACGTGCATGTTGCATGAGACTAGCTCAATATCTTGATACCAAATCTATGCCTTGGAAGAAGAGTCGTATATTCACATATAAACACTTTGCAATACTTTTCTACTTCCAAGCCGCAGAATTTTTTTTTTAGGAACACTTTAAAGAGAGACACGCAATATATCGCTCAAATGATTAACGAAGCTGATCTGTATCGACGCTGCGTAATTCGTGATCAGCGAGGCGCGGGTCTGACCAAGTCCAATACGCACTACGACAAGTCAAGCAAATTATTGAAATAATTTCAATGCGATACTTAAATGTATTGGCGAATCGTCCGTGACGGTCCTTTGATATCCCTTTTACTGGAAAAAAAAAAACAAAAACAAAAACAAAAGGTTCCGGGTAACCTTCACTACGTATAATTCGGGTGATGTTGCCCTGAATTTTGTCCCTGTTCCAGATCTTGGTCCTGATCCTGGTCCTAATGTTAGTTCTAGTTATCTTTATCAATCTCCGTGCCTTCGAGGACCCACAATGCGCACGCTTCGGTATTTCGCGTTACGCAACGTTCGTCTTGCGAAGGATCGAGCTTCGATAACGCTGGAAACTTCCGGAACGATTTGCGCGCGTGTAACGAGTAACGGGCATTAAAGTTACAAAACGAACGAGCTTTACCGCGTTTGTCCCGAAGAGAAAGGGCGAAGCGGATGTAAAAACGGGAGATGGAAGAGGCTTTGTACTGCATCATAAACAAAGAGTTTATATAAATCTAACGTGCGTCGTTTCAGCGCGCGGTTCAGCGCCGTACAACGGGTAATCAGTTGTAAAAAAGAAACCGGTTGTCGCGTAGCAAAGTAGGAGAGAGGCATCATGTAAATCCAAATTAACGCAGAGAGAAAGAAAGAATATATTTACTATTGCCTGACTATATATTACGTTGCAGAAAGAATCAAACACGCCTTGCTGACGCAGCTCGGCGATACATTTTTACGAGGTGCGCGCGTATGTTTTACGCATCCTTTGTTCATGTTCTCCAAACACGGGTCTTTATACGGGCCTGGTAAAAACAAAGAAACAGTAGTTTTCAATATTTGATATTGATAGAATATCTCGAGAAGTCACTTGGAGTGATTATATAGCTATACATAATAGCAATAAAAGAAGCTAAGCTCTTGCAAGTTGAGGATACACCAATTATATATAGTAATTTGTTACGTAATTGTTGAGCTATTGAAAGAAACTTAATTCAATTTGTAGGAGACTTATCAGATTCTCGTCTTTATGATAGAGAAGAAGGAGGCTAGAAGAAAGGATGAAAAAAAAAAAAAAATAGGCGAATCCTGGTGAAACGTGCGCGCGCACATGCGTTATAAATAAATAATAAGGGAACTACGTAGACTGAGTAAATGCAATATATATGTATCGATGACCGTTCGCCATGTTGTTGTTGAGCCGTTTGGATCGCGAAAAGAATGCCGCGGCATTTTTTGGGGGAGCGACGTTAAAAAGGGATGGAGAAACGGGGGAAGCGCGCAATCTCGCGAAAGACTGCAGAGGGACGGTTTTAACGACACCAAATACAAGATAGTACTGACATTGGATAGACTGAAGGCACCTTAGTAGTAACTTAACGCCGCCGCCATGCCGGACCGTCCTGTCCTGTTCGGCTGAGTCCATTTCCGGATGTCGGCGTGGACATCCGGGGCGCTAAGTGGAGAACCTGGTGAACCAAGTGATAACGTAAGAACAGTTTTATGTGTCACTTGTATCAGAGCTACACTAAAGCTGTTTTAGTTTAAAAAGTTTTACGTGTGTCGAAAGAATTACCATGTAACGTAGACGACGCAGTTAATAATTCTGGTACGATTGGAAAGGAATCATGCTTTTAAGTTATGAGAACTTATGAATAGTAATATTTATCGTTTTACAAATGAGACGTTATAATTTTTGTATATTTCACTTATTATTGGATCGTCATCAAAGTTATTACTCAATTATTCATTGAAAGATTTCGTTTTTTAATATAACTTCTATGAATCTTATTCGAGGCGCGATAGCTTCAAATTAATCATGTTTACTTAATTCTTTATTAATTTCATTTTTTTATTATTTTCCATCCGAAGTTTACCAAGTTTTCGAACTTAACTCTCCGAGTCTTGAATAGTCAGTCATCGAGTTTATGTAATTTTACAGATACCACATAGTTAAAAATTATGTATACATATATATGAAACTCTTTATCTGTTACTTTATTCTTCGCAATTTTATCTTAACAATCGGATGAGAACGTCATCAATCGAGACAGGTCGCACGATGGTACGGCAATGGCGGTTAGAGGCTTAGTCGCGAGAAAAAAAAAAGCACTAAAAGTACGAGATCGTAGCTTACTATATTTTGCACCTTACACTCCGTCGAGCACCCTCCCTCCGTGAGAGGGGCGAGACGATTTATATACAAATTTTTCACTAGTTGGGCATAGACGTTAGACGACTAGAGGCTACATAATAACTATAATTATTATTATTATCACTATTATTAATCAGTTATTACGAGTAACGGAGATCTTCATTGTTACTTTAATGCGCGAGGGGGTTGAATATACCCCGATTGACCAGTGTTGTTCGTTCGTTATTCAAGAGATATCTAGCGTTGCAAAGATAACAAAAAAGTTATAGTCGTAAGGATCGGATCGTCATCATGAATAATAGTGGGCTCTGTAATATGATCTGGAACAAGTGCTCTCGCTCGTTTCATCAAAGGAACGCATTGAGGTGTTTCAAGTTGACGTTTTCCAAATTTTTTACGAGCTCCAGGTAGAGCAGTAATCGACCAATGTTACAGAAGTTGAAGTATCGCATTTGAAGGGAAACATTTTTTTGCGATATTAAAACGCTACCTCAAATAAGAAGAGATAAATTTTGAAAGTTAGAGTATGATCGTGAAGTGTTTTGGAGCAAAGTTATCGAGAACACTTGATCCACATTTATTTACGGGGCTCACTAAGTTTGTGCTGCGATCCGAGTGTACTTTTAAGTGAGTTTTAGAGAGTTCTGTAATACCAGTTTAGGCAAAGGCAGCAAAGATAGCGCAGTAGACATAGGAGAACGAAAGGGACCTGTGAAAGGGACAGGGGGTGGGGTGGGGGGTGGGGGGTTGTTGAGTAGACGGAACGGCGTGATGAAGGTCGTTTCGTAAACATTAAAATGGTTGGTGGGCCGTGCCGTAGATTTTCGCGCACTCAGGTCAATTATTATCCGAATATATTTCGAAACTTCGATGGACCAAAGAGCTTCTTACTGATCCTTGTAGATTATTTATCCCAAGCGAGAAAGGACGGGAGCGTCCGGGAGAAATCTTTCGCGAATTCCAGAAGCCCAGGATGCCGCGGTGCCAAATGCATCTTTTTCGCAATTTGTATATCGCAATATCATGCATTGTTAAAAAAAATTCTACACAAATTCTATACAAATTCGTAGTTTGAAAAGTATTTCAGTGACCAAGATAATAATTAATTAACTAATTAATCGTACCAAGGCACAAATTAATTATTGTTCATGAATTAGACAATAAGAGAGAAGTCTACATATACTTACAATATATTATGTATATAAATTATATATTAAATTGTAATATTCTAAAATATCGTTAGATATTAAAAATGGAATATTTAATGATTAAATGATAACTTATACAAAATTTATGAAAAATAATATATGAATGATAATTCGTCGTTATTACAGATTTAAGAATTGAGAGTTTGGCAAGATCTTGCTACAGTTTATTCGTAACGCTCCATATTTTTCTTGGAAATTGCATGTTAATCGCGGAAATTTGGCATCCTGTATTCCTTGGGACTGCAGAATCTCGCACTGTCAGGTCAATTATTATCCGCAATATTTGAAACCTTGTCGGACCAAAGAGTGTTTATAAACGTATAGAATCCCCGAAAACCCTTAAGGAAAATGACACCAAGTGTGGGTAAAGGGGGACGGTTACGGCCTGGTTCCACGATGGGTTGTCGCAAGCCCGTCCAACGTGTGTATGCGAAGGATTCAGGGGAATTGGATAGATTTTCACGAAAAATGGGAAAACAAAAAGTGCAAAGAGGCAGCGGCTAGACAGCTTATATCGATTTTATAGGAGGAGAAGCAAGCAAATAATAATTAAATACACTCACATTTGATAATCACTGAGAGGCTAAGACTAACTCAATTAATTAAAGGGTGAGAAAGACGCAAAGGCGGAAAGGATCACCGGAGAGAGAAAATGTCTGCAGGTGGTCGTGATCGAAAATTTTTCGAAAAGTTTTTTTTCTGGGACGTTGCAATTTTCTCGAATTCGAATAAAGTTGAGTTTAACAGATCGGATTTATATCGGTGTTATTGTCGCTTGTTGTTTTCTATTATCTTTTCGAAACGAGATCTGCAGGCCTCTCTTCAGTGTGCGGTTTGTGAGGATTGCGATTTTATCAATTTGTACAATAATAGCTTTGATTCACCCTAGTCGATGTCTGCGTGAGAAATGCGAAAAAGGGTGTGAGAATTGAAGATCGCTCTATCGGCGTGATTTTATCGTTCTCATATTTTATAATTTTCTCTTTCGCGCATTTTAGAAAATCTATGTATACCAAAGGATTATAAATTTACGCATATATGTATACGTGGTAGCTTATTATAGCAACTATAAAATCTCATTTGTCTTCGCCGAAGTTTCGTTTGATGCTCCTTCGATATCCGCAAGATCGATCGAAGATTTCTAAAAGTTTAGGAAGACTTTAGAAACATTTCTGTATATATAATATCTTTTACAAAATTATCATACAAGTTAAAATTGACTTATATTAATTTTAGAGTAAGTACTGATATAGTCTCTGTAGATTTTTGAAACTTTTAAGAATCATCACAATTGTTTTTTCTTTTTATCTTTTATCTCTTTTTTTTTTTTTTACCGTGACAAAATTTCGCAATACGTAGGTGGGTGAGCGTCGCGCATTCGTTGCAAACGTTATCACATCCTTTTGTGGCAATCGCAGCAGTTACAGAGAGCATTTCGCGTCACGCGATGATAGTACGTTATGATAGTCGCAGAACGGCCGATTCTCGAAATCGCTTCGAATTCCTCGCCGGCATCTGAAGGCTCGTGATCAGGATAAATCGCTGTTAGAAAAGCGCGATGAAGATGCAGCGACTGATCTTGAGACTCGTTGTGCAAATTTAAAGACGTTTAAAAGAGAGGAGAAATTCGCTCACGCTCGTTGCCTTCTCGATGTTGTTGAACTTTTTAGAGTTAAGGTCGTTAAAAAGCGCTTTCAATCGTTGCCAATTGTAGGGGACAATCGAGAAGAAGATGGGAAAAGAGGAGAGACTTTTTGCGAGAGACCAAGGGTACAAAAAGAAAGAAAGATATGCGATGTCAGGTCCCCATATATTCGTACAAAATTAGTGTTCAAATTGTAAAAAGTGTTCATAAGTCAAGGGTGAGGTGTCGCGTTGCGAGGAATTGTTATTCGCGTGAGGATAGCCGCTGTTTCTGCGACGTGTGCTACATCGTTCGTTTTATTCTCAAAATTCCGTCTTCGGAATTGTACGTATAAACTATTAATACGGGAACCTACTACTACTTATAAGTTACGAGGATAACTCTGTGTATAACGTTCGGAAATTGGATTCTGATCTGCGGATTAGATTTTGTTGATATTTGTTAAATTTTGTATATATATATACACTATGAAATTTTATAGTGTTGTCGTTGTGTGTCTACAAATTTTATCGTATCAAATTTTATTGCATTTTTATATATAATTTATTATCGTATCGTGTAAAATTTTATCGTGTGCAAAAGGAATTTCTATCGCGCGTACTATACGCAGAAATCATGAAATGAGCTCTTGTGCGTCTGCAACTGCCTGTTATCTGCATCTCAAAGGGAGTGCAAGACCATCGGTGTTGCGCTTTTCTTACAATCGTAACATTCTCACGCTCTCATCGCGGGTGCGATAGTCTCGCCGATGGGTTTCGAACATGTTCGCTTAGAACGTGTTTAATTAATAGATCTTGTTGGAGGGAGACGTGAAAGATGAGTAAGAAATGAGTGAGGGAGCCGTGAAAAATTACGATATAAAGTATATATATTATAAATCTATATATA